TCTGTTAAGATGGACTTTCCATAATTGCTGATTTCTACTAGGATGAGATATTTTACAGTTATATTTTTTGATGTTGTTTTCTTTAAGCATTTGGAGAAGATAGTTCTGAATGCTGCTTGAGTTTTGGCGAGAGCTTTAAAAATCTAAAATTCCTCTCTCAGCTTTCTCCTAAGGTGAACCTTAATACTTTTAAAATGGCAAATTGAGCCAGAGCAGAAAATAATTCTAGAAGAATTTTCCATGGCTTATCCATACACCTGACTTGAAGTATTTAGCTCAGCTTTTTCTGTTGTGAGAAGGGAAAAAAGATGGAGTGGACATTTTCCGCTCAAGATTGCACTGCATGAAGATTCTTTCCCATGAAATGAGAAGTTTCTCCTTGTGGTATTTTGTGGTGAGGTCTGTTGATACGCTTTAATGAAAATCTTTTGAAGTGTGCTTATAGTACTTCTTGAATTGATGCGTCTGGTCAGCTGTAGGTTTCATTCTGCAAAATCTTGTGCTGAAACATGACCTTGCTTTTGGTAGATTTGGCCAGAAGGCAAATGGCCAACAGTAGTTGCCAAGGGAAGAAAAAGGGTAAAACAGGTACAGACAAGCACATTGTGACATTTACCTGAAGTTTTTCAAGAATCTAGAATATGTGGCTCAAATATTCCTGAACTAGATATTTTCTAGACTTAATAGACTTTAATGACACTTTATTCCAAGAATTCTTTCTGGTTTTGAACCCAAACACACAGTGTCATGCAGCAAGTAGTTGACAGCTTTGCTGCATATGATGTAAATCAGGATCTGCCATTTATTTTGAATGAGGCCCTGCCAGTCCCATCAGTGCTTCCAGTGTTATGGGAAGTAAAACCAGTGAAATGTCATTTCCTATTTAAGTGAAACAAAAAAAAAAATGAACAACTTGATATCAGTCTTAGCATATTGGTTGTTTTCTCTCTTATAAGATTCTTCAGTGATCACGCACTTCTTACCTTTGGTCATTCACATTGCTTGTACTTTTCAACTTTTTTCTCTCATACCCGATGAGTACAGTAGGCAGAGGGAGGCAGAGCTGCATATTGCTTCCTCACTTGACAGATTGTGGAGGTGAGGGGAAGGGGGGAAGCAAAGCAGCTGTCTAAGAAAGCAAAGCCTGGTAACTCAAATTGAGTGACATCTTTCTTAGCAAACATTTTTTTAAGCAATAAACTTCCAACTTTAGTTGAAACTATAAGCTATCATGGGTTGATGGAGAAGTTATTTTGAATGGAGTCTGTACCTAATCCACAAGTTCTGTTAGAATCATAGAATACCAAGTGAGAAGGGACCACAAGGGTCATCTAGTCCATCCTCTCAAGGTAAAAGCATAGTTTAAATGAGATGAGTCAGCACCCTGTCAAGCTGACTTTTAAACTCCTGTTAATTGGAAAGGATTCTATTTTAAAATGTATTTTAAAAAAATAATATTTGAAGCAATTGGAATTTAAAGGCAAACCCAGATGTGTTTTGCATTACATGAGTAGGGAAGAAAATACATACTTTTAGATGGGGAGAAGGAAATACAGATTATTTTCTGAAATATGCTGGGGAGAAGGGCAGATAAGTGATTGCATTTTATCTGCGATAATGAGTATTTATCATAATTTTTTATTTTAGGCTGGGTGGATAACTCTTGTTTACATAAAAATCAAACTGTTCAGTCTCTAATAACTGATAATCAGGGTGAGGAAAGTGACTGGAAGTATGTTAAGAATAATTGGAAGGAAAAAATCATATAATTCATCTGATATTCAGGTCAGTTAAGAAAATTTGCTAACTTTAGAAGTTTTGCCAACTTTAATTAGAAAACTTTTGTGCTACTGTATCTATTAAACAATTTCTTAACTGAACCTGTAATTCCAGAATGTGACTCAGCCACATCTATGGGAAGTATGCAGGATGTGGCAGCTGAATTAAGAAATGTTCAGTGTAGTGTTTAATAGTACAGGCTTGGATCAGTAGATTTTTTTTTTTCCTTTTTTTTTTTTTCCTTCAGCTCTTATATTGAGAAATAGTAGCATTAGGAGAGTATATGTGAGTTTTAGTGTCTTGTTTCCTTGTCATTCAGACCTTGTATTTATGCATTAAATATCCATCAAATGCGTGCACCTCTTTCCGTACTTTTTTGCATGACTTCTTTCAATAACAACAAAAACAATCAGCAAAATAATAGTCAAACCAAAACAACTTTTCCAAAAGCCTCTCCTGAAGCTGAGATTATGTTGAAAGATTTATTCAGATGGGATGCTCTTCCTTTGAGAGAGCTGTGAACAGTCTGCAAATGATCACTTGGAACAGGAATTTGCTTACATAGTAAAAACAATGAATGGTATCTGCTGCAGTTTTCTAATGGATCTTGATACAATTATTTACTTGTCATATATCCTCTCTCTTGCTTCCCCTTCATTTAGGTGTTTCAGAAGCCAAAGTTTGAAAGGGGCAGGGGCACAGTTTGTGTTCTCTTTCATAGAATCATAAAATCATTTAGGTTGGATAAGACCCTTAAGATCATTGAGTCCAACTGGAAACCTAACACTGCCAAGTCCACCTAAGTGCCATGTCTACACATCTTTTAACTACCTCCAGATTTGGTAACTCAACCAATAGATTGTCTTAAGACGTGGGTGAGAGAAATGCTGACGGACAGGGACTGACTTTGCTTTACAGGTTACCCAGTACTATTCATGCAGTTCTTAGTGGGGCTATGGGAAGGAGATGAAGGGAAGGGCAGGGTGTGGTGTGAGCGCTCTTCTCAGCTTGGCTTTCTGATTCCTCAACTTCTGAACCTGCCCAAGCCCTCAGGCTCCTTTGAGAGCTTCCACTACCAAGTGGTCTTTGCCAGAGACTGAATCTTTTTATCCCTGATGTTTATGAAAGATTGCTAAAATAATTTGATTTGATGTAGTCAAGTCTTACAGGTCCATAGTGCATCTAAGATTTTTTTTTTAACACAATAGAATAACAAAGTTTTAGCATTGCAGTTTGGAGGCAGAACACTAATTAAGGTGTTAGTTAAATAACAAAGTTTTAGCATTGCAGTTCTTGGAGGCAGAACACTAATTAAGGTGTTAGTTTGTGTAGCTAATGTTTTGGGGGGGGAAAGCTATCTGTAATGTGAAATTGGAGTTGTTACCTAAGAATCCCTTCTTACTGTTACTCTCTCATAGTAGTTCTGCTACAATTTTTCAGACATGATTTGAAACAGCTTCTGAAATGAAATCCTCTGCTTTTTTTTTCTGGGTAAGAAGGGATGTTGATACAGCAAAAAAACCTCACCAAGGAACCAAAACCAACCCAAAACAACCAACACACCAAACCAACCAACCAACCAACCAACCAACCATCCAAACCCACCTGAAATGTCTTCTTAAACCTACTGGGAAGTGAATGGCAAAGTTTTACTATGAAAAGAAATTATCTTGGGCAATAAAGTTTTGTTCAGTTTTCTTTTTTGTGTAATAGAACATAGAAAAGTAGCATTGGTCATAACCTAAAAACCTGCTTATAGTGTCTTGATTTTATATTTTGGAGGGAAATGTTAATTACACTTTGGCTTTTCTGTTACTTGACATTTCAACTAATAAAGAGGACTTTTTCATGACAGACTGGGTGTTCTGTAATAACATTCTATGTATGACATTTGGAATATTGCCCTGTTAATTTAGTTTATGAACCCAGTATTAAACATCGATATGTAAAATTAATTCATAAATTGTTATCTAAAACTTAAACAAACAGCAGCCCTCCGCAATCCCCAAAATACACGGCCCGATGATGAATATTTCCAGAATCAGAAAGTGCACGTATGTAAATGTTCATTTGGAATTTGGTTGGCTGATCTTCTGGAAGAAACGTGTGTGCGTACAGGGCAGGGCAGTTCCTATGGACATGCCTTGCTTTGTTAAATTTGTTTAATGGCTATTGCTAAATCAGATGAAGTTACTGACCTTTAGTTTGTTGTTCTGACTTTTACTTTATCATGAAATTGATGTATTTGTTGGAATTGTGTTTCTTTTTAAGCTTCTGAGTCACAGTGCCGCTTTTCAAGGGATGAGAAGATAGTGTCAGTTGTTTATTTATAAGCAGGGATTGTCCATGTGGTATTGTTGTTTTATTATCAGTCAGGAGAAAATGAGATTTAAAATAGCTTATTGCTCCAGTATGCTGAAACTTTAATATCTCTACTTTGTACATGGTTTGTTTCTTATTTCTATAAATGCCAGAACCTTTATGGTGCTTTTCTTCCCCATTAGTTTATGTTCTGCATAGATTGACAGGGTTTTCTGGAATTTTATGCTGCCTGAACAACTAGCCTCCAACAGCAAGCCATAACTAATCATTCTAGTAATAGCCCATGGTGTTCTTAATCTGCATCTTAAACAGATCTTTTTTTCTTTTTCCAACCTCAATTTTTAGAGAACGTTTCACTGTGGAGGTTTGTAGTCAGAAAACCACATTAAACTTAAGAAGATCAGTACAGCAGGGCGCATATTGTTTCATTTCAGTACAAGGATTTGTGATAAAATTTGAAAAATTACATTTTTTTAAAGCTGTGAAGCTGTGGAGATCATAGGTTTTTACTAATTTCAGGCTTTTATATGAAGTCAGAATACTTACTGTGAAGTGCTAAAAAAATCTTTAAAGATGCTCCCCCCCCCTTTTTTTTTTTAAAGGTATGGTCAGTAAGAAAAGAAACTTACTATTTTTTTTAATAGAATCTTTAATGACATAGGTAGAACATGTGTTTGTATAAATATCACAAAAATCACACTTGAAAGTGTGTATTAAGTGATAAATGTTAATGAATTGATACTTTAGTTGAATGACATGCTTATTATGAATTCACTAAGATACTTGATTATGCTTTGTATTCCATTAATTGAATTCTATCACAATTCAAACAAACACACAAAAAACCCAAAACCAAAACCAAACCAAGCTGCATGAAGTTTCCCTTTCTTTTATACCAGTTACAACCAAGGGAAATTGAAGATTCTTCCTTGGAATGAGCAGAAACATCGTGAAGAGGACTGGTGTGAAAAAGCAGAATGCAGGTAAGTATATAGGAAAAGTAAAAAGTTTTTTTCTATGTTTGTGTATACTTCAGGTATAGAATTTACTTACTAATTCTTAAAATGTGGGCAATACCCAGTAAGACTCACTTCTTATTTTTGTACATGCTGACTTGTGTTTTCAGCCTTCTTGGTGAGACTGACTGAACAAACACTTTTCCGTGTTACAGCTTATGTTCAGTGTGATTATATGATGAGTAACTTTTGCAAATGCATTCCTTTACTTTTTTTTTCCCCACTTAATTGTCGCAGAATCAAAGAATTATTGAGGCTGGAAAAGACCTCTGAGATTATCAAGTCCAGCCTATGCCCTAACACCACCACATTGGCTAGACTACGGCACTAAGTGCCACTTCCAGGGGTGGTGACTCCACCACCTTCCTGGGAAGTCCATTTCAATGCCTGTTCACCCTCTCTGTGAAAAAGTGCTTTCTAAAGTGCTTGTCAGCCATAGCATTATCATAGCAACATTAATGGATCACAAAACTGCCTTTCACTGTGCGAGGAAAGCAGAGGTTGAACATACCTGCATCTTTAGTAAAGAGGATTCTTTCTTTCATGATTCTTTCTTTCACCTTTGGAATCTCTTACTAGTTACTTTGTGGACAAAAATTAATACTTAAAAAAGTATTTAAAAGGCATTTCAGTGTGATCAAATTACTGGTTTAATGGATGATTGAATTTATCATTTTCTTTCAGAACACCCAGAAGTTTTAGGAAAAAAGATTGATATGAAAAAATGCAAGCAAATTTATACTTTATTTTTTTTTAAAGGGTGATTGTTGAACCAACTTCACAAGATGAAGGCGAATTTCTGTATGAAATGCAACCTGAGTTACTGAAGTACAGGACTACTGACCTTTCAGTAGATCTCGTTACTGATTGGTATTTGAGCAGAGCACAGGAAATTGAAAAATGTGCGATGCAGGTGAGAATAGCAGTGAGGAAATTACAGAGGTGACTTGAGCTGATATACCTTCTCCAGTAGAATCCTATCTTAATGTGTATTAGTGGGACGCTTTTCCCTCAGTATTATACACTGTGTCTCAGTCTTCGTTTTGGCTTTCGAAGTACTTGTGTTTTCCTTTTGCAGTGTACTTATGGTTGCTCAACAGTTCACTCAACCGGATAATTGGTCCATAGGAATGAATAGGAAGCCAGTAGATTCCCTTCCACTTGGCTTACCATAGCTGACAGTAGCATTTTTGTAGCCTTTTATTTGTAGCATTTTATGTTTGTAACTACTGGAGGGAATGTTGTGCACAGGGTATCAGCAAACATGGTTTATTATCTGTCAAGTGATATTGTGTCATACGTATCGATATGTGGCAATCACGTGTCACTGTCGTTTGCCAATATGTAGCACTGTCATGATTGCTTCCTGGCAGGTTTGCTGTGTGTCTGTGGGGCTACCGTGCAGCTTATTTTTGTTTTATATTTTCATATTTAAAAAATGTTTGGAGGTCTATGTAGTAGAGATAAGCATTGCAAGTAAGAATAGAGCTCATCACTGGCATGCTCCAGTTTTTTATTGCTTCTCAAGCCAGTTTAGCTGCATGAAAAGGAGGTTGCCTGGAAGTATCACTAAGAGTTATTTCTAATGGGCAAGTTATTTTATTCTTGAAGTTTGCAGTCTTCTGAGGCCCTTTAATCGTAGTTTCCTGTGATTTTAGCAGCCTATCAGTAGGTATGGAAATAAAAGAACTTTCAAGGATCAATCAAATTGCAAACGTATAAATGAAACTGCGTTCTACTCTTCCAGACTTATGTCTGCCTCACTGAATATCTATATATGTATGCATACTGTGTTCTGTGAAATTGAAACAGAATCACAGAATGGTTTGGTTGGATGCAGTCTTAAAGATCATTTGGTTCTACCCCCTGTCATGGGCAAGGACACCTACCATTAGACCAAGCTGCTCAAAGCTCCATCCAGCCTGGCCTTGAACACTTCCAGGGAGGAACCATACACAACTTCCCTGGGCAGCTTGTTCCAGTGCCTCACCACCTTCACAGTGTAGGATTTCTCACTAATATCTAATCTCAATCTACCCTCTTTCAGTTTAAAACCATTATCTCTTGTCCTGCCACTACACTCCCTGCCAAAGAGTCTCTCCTCATCTTTCCTATACGCCTTTTTTCTAAGTACTGGAAGGCTGCTATAAGATCTTGTAGGGGAGGTGCTGCAGCCCTCTGATGATCTCTGTGGCCTTCCTTTGGACTTGCTCCAACAGGTCCATGTCCTTCTTATGTTGGTGGCCCCAGAGTTGAATGCAGTACCCAGGTGGGGTCTCATGATAGTGGAGTAGGGAGTGAGAATCACCTCCCTCCACCTGCTGGTGATGCTTCTTTTGATGCAGCCCAGGATACAGTTGGCTCGGTGGGCTGTGAGTGCACATTGTTGGGTCATGTTGAGCTTCCCATCAGCCAACATCCCCAAGTCCTTCTCCTCAGGGCTGCTCTCAATCCCTTCTCTGCCCAGCCTGTGTTTGTGCTTGGGATTGCCCCGACCCTTTCCCCTTATCTTTCATATAAAAGTCACCAGGGAAAAAGACTGCCATTGTCTTCTGTGAAATAAAATGCAACAATTAAAATTATTAATTCATGGTCAGCTAGAAAAGTCATGTTACATGCAGAGGTATGCATAATTTCAGTCAGTTAACTGATTATCTTAGTTTAAAGCAATCCTTCATATTATGAGGTGATGTATCTCTCTGTGTGTGATCTCCAGAAGGAATGGTGTTCTCCAAATGTACATGCATCAATAGAATGCATCTGGGTCAAAAGCTTATAATAGCTTTTTTTTTTAGCTTAACCACTAAGGTTAAGCATTTTATTTGGGCCTTATAAATCTGAGAAGAGCAATCTATTTAGGCATATACGTTCCACTAAAAACTTCTAGGAACTTAAAATTGCCTATTAAGCAAAAGGAACAGGGAAAGAAAATACATACAAACAGGACACAAATTGGACTTGAAATTGTTTTTTGGCAAACAGTTGTATAGCAGGAGGGGTTTATTGTTTTTCAGGTGGACTGTGCTCTGTCCCTTGTTCGTCTTGGTATGGAGAGGAATATTCCAGGTCTGCAGGTGCTGTGTGACAATCTGATCACTCTTGAGACAGTAGTTTATGAGACTGGTGGTGATCCAACCTTAACTTTGAAGGAACTTGTAGAGATGAAAGACATTGAAAAGCTGAGACTGCTGATGAAGAATGTAAGTATTTTGAATAAATCAGTAAGTATACTTTGATTTCCAGTAATTCAGATTGCTCTAGATCCTATGTATATATAAATACTGTTAGTGGCTGGCACTTTTCTGACGAACCTCCATCCTTAATTCAGCAAGGATTCAAAGCTTTTACTTTTTCTTCTTTTGCTGTGGGGTTTTTTCTTTGTTCTTTGTTTTTTGTTTTTAACAAAAGCTAAAATGTCTCTGTTTTCTCAGAGATGTGTTTCTTTGTCCTAAGCACAGGACCAAATGTTAATAAATCCAGTCTTTTGAAAGCTGTGAAGTGCTTTTTTATTGACCGTTTCCAAAGGTTCTTCATTGTAGCTGTTGATCATGCTGCAGCTACAAGAATGCTGGATGTTTTCCTTGGATTTTTTTTTTTTGGTGTGTTTAAGATTTTTGGCCAATATTTAATATTTGTCTCTGCAGCATGTGTTTTTTTAATCTTCTCTGTGTTCAGCCTGTGCATGGCATTTCAGAATAGAAAGAGACCTTTTGGAAAGGTTGAAACATATCTAAAGATTGAACAGGGGGCTGAAATTCAGGGGGAATACTCATGTGTTTGAAACTCCTCAGAATTTTCAAAATTTTGCTAGGATTTATGTAACCACTCACCATTTGTCTTTCTGTCTTGCATTCTTGCATACTGAAAGTACTGCTACTTGGACATGAATGTAAGCTGATCTTTCACTAATTCTGTGCTTGCAGGAGGAATACAGCTAACTCATGTAATGGGCTTTGCTCCTGTACCACTTGGTTTCCCCAAGCTATTGGGTAGCAGAAATATGATGGATTGTTTCAGTGTTTGATGTCGTGATCTCTGCAGCAGTACGAATGTCAGGTTTCAGCTGCTGTTTGTGATTGGTGAAGATACTGTTTCAGTTACACTGATCAAAATAAGTTTTGTTTGGATTTTTTTTTTGTTTTGGACAATGAAGCTGAACTTGTTCTTTTTTTCCTCTCTGCAATTTATTGTGCTTTCCAGTCCTCTGATGAAAAATATGTGAAGAATGTTTATCAGTGGATGATCCCTTTTCTCCACCGCTGTGAAAATCAGTCCCTTGGTCTTGCAAATTCGCTCTTTAAAGAATATTTAGTAACTTTAGCAAAGGAAGACCTAACTCTACCTCTGAAGATATTTCAGAATTCAAAACCTGCTGTAAGTACTGAGCCCTGTTGATTCTACTAGTTTCTTTGGAAATTCTTGTCCTGAAGAGGTGAATTCATAAATATGGTTATTTCATCTTCTAAATCAGATTGTCTCTCTTATCTTTCCCTCCTTGGACCCAGGATTTATGTTTTAAAAAACATTAATTAAAAAGTATTGTAGCATAAGTTGTGATGCAACTTGATGAGACTGTCAGACTAATGTAATTATGATCTTGACAGTAGAACAAAAATTATTGTAAAGATTCTTCTTGGAAGTAATTTTATGGTGACATGTTTAAATTAAATTCCTCGCATATTTGCATATAAAAAAATGGATATGGAAGAGTTTGATCTCACAAATATTTTTTCCTGAGAGATTTACTACCAGTAGATTTCGAGTTATTTCTCCCTGTCCACCTCCGTCCTTCCCCCCTCCTC